TGAGTGAAAACTACCAAGTATTGACCTAGTGAAAAATCCAGTATTTAGGAAAATCCACACTGTTAGGTACATACAATCCTAGTGTACAAAAATCTTACAAGTCCAGGATCGCGAAACCTCCTATTATTACTTAACAAATAGACTGGGCCAATGGCTAGTACTCTCAAAATGCTCTATTTTTTGTTGTTTCCCACGTTGTTTGCACGGGCGTGCACACACACAAGATTAAGATGAAGCCCAGCATGTTTAGTGTGTCATTGAGAGCTGTCCTTACCACTCAAAGACAAAGCAGTGGGCCTGGTGGTTTTGAAATCAGTCCTTCCCCCTCTCTGTCCCTGCTGCCTCTCTCTCCTCATACCATCTTTCTGCTGTTGTCCTTGATCCTTGCTTTTAACTTTCACGTGACAATCCACTCACTTACTAACAGTTTTTCCATCAACTTAATTGGTCCTAGAATGAATGCTAACAGAATGATAAGTCCCGAGCACCAACATATTAAGTATGTATCCAAGGAGGGATGGAGCAGGGCTGTCCCCACACTGTTAACAGACACATGGTGATATCTGTAGGTCATTATTATGTAGTACCAGCCACTGGAGACCTTCTAATATGTAGATGGTTATGTTGCTTTGGAGACATTTTATTGATTTATTTTTTAACAAATATTCAAATAATACTGATTATGCTGTTATTATTATGGCTAATCCAACCCTGAATGGTTGAGAATAAATCAGCCTTCTGTATCTGGGTTCTGTATCCTTGGAGTCAACCACTTATGCATTCCAAAAACTCAAAAAAAAAAAGAATTGCATCTATACTGAATATGTACAGACCTTTTCCTTGTCATTATTTTCTCAACAATACAGCATAACAGCTATTTACATAGCAAGCACCTTGTACTAGGTATTATGAGTAATCTAGAAATGATTTAAAGTGCTTAAAAGAATATATGTATAACAATGAGGGTCTCCTTCCACCATCATGCAATTCCCATTCTCCCTCCCTTTCCCTCCCACCCCTCTTCCCTATGTAGAGGTAATCTTCCCATGCTCTTCCTCTCTTCCCCATTTTGAGTCACCCCCCTTATATCAGAGAAGACATTCGGCATTTGTTTTTTTGGGATTGGCTAACTTCACTTAGCATAATCTGCTCTAATGCCATCCATTTCCCTGCAAATGCCATGATCTTATTATTATACATTATTATACAAAATACATGTATGAAGATGTGAGGGGAAAAAAAGAATAGTGTTACCCTAGATTAGGTAGAGAGAAGTGATGGGAGGGGAGGGGAGGGGTTGGGGAGATAGGAAGGATAGTAGAATGAAACAGACATTATTATTACTGTGTGTATGCGTGACTGCATGACCAATGTGATTCTGCAACCTGTATACTCAGAAAAATGAGATATTATATCCCATCTGATTCAAATGTATGATATGTCAGGGTCATTGTGCTGTCATGAATAACTAATTAAAACAAATTAAAAAAAAAAGACACACTCAAAAAGGCAAGGGTCACATGTTTTCCCTCATATGTGAATACTTGACCACATAATGGAAAAGGGGAATTCAATGAAAATATCAGAGATATTTGTGGAGTAAAGGCAGGGATTATAGGAAAGGGAGGGAGGACGAACAGAGGGATGGATGAACAGTAGAATGAAACAAACCAAACTCTCTCATGTACATATATGAATAAAACATGGTGAATTTCAATTTTGTGTGTATCTATAATGCACTAATTTAAAAATCTGTAAATAAATGGAAGATAAAACAACAGAAAAAATATATGTATGTGTAATGCAAAGATTGTACTGTTCTATGTAAGGGACTTGAGCATCCATGAGTTCTGGACTCACTGGGGGATCCTGGAACCAGTCTCCCAAGGACAACAAAGGTCCACTGCAACCAAAGAGTTTGTTTATAATCAAGTGTTTGGTATGAATTCAGGAGAGAAAGAGGCCCCTGAAAGGGAAGCAGGGCAGTGAGAGGTGGTCTTCTGGAAACTGGAGGTATCTGAGCTGAATCCTAAGTGACATCCTGAGATTCATGTTAATGTAGGGAGGAAGTACCAAGGCTCTGTGAAACTATCTGGAGGAACTTTCTTTACTTTCTGTAGGCATATGGAGAAAAGAATGGAAGAATGTAGCCAGGGTAAAAGTTGGGACTCATTGGCAGCCTCATCCCTAAGCTCTGTAATGGGGGTTCCATTAGATGCCTACTCGAAGGGAACGAGACTGCGGAGCTAGAGTCACTTGCAGCAGTAGTCGTTCAATAGTAAATGAATAAGATGTGTTGAAAATGCTGTGGGCGACCCCACTGGCACCTCGTGTCAAACCAAGAAATCTTTTGAAATGTTCACCTTAAAACCTTTCTCTAGCACCTTTCCCCTCCTGCTGCACTTGGTCAGGAATTGGTCTAGAATTGGTCTGGACTTAGTCTTGTCATCGGTCTGGAATTAGTCTTGTGTAGAATTCGTCTTGTCATTGTTTTTGGTACATATTGACAAGGTCAGAGAGCACTAGAGAAATGGGACAAGCCATTCCATCTGGCCTTGAGCTTTCTTCTACCTCTCTTCCTTTTGCATTTATCGTCTTGGCTATTCTTTCCCCAGTGTCTCATTTTCTTCTGGAGTTTCTTTTTTTTTTTTTTTTGCTTTTTTTTTTAAAACCAGTTTGAACAGTTTTTCAATTGCATCTACCACTAAATTTGAACTCTTTTCTAATTATGTTCTTGTTCTTTCCCCCAAATTATCCTGCCTGCATTAAAACTGATTCACAGTTTTGTTTTCCAGTTCACATACTAAACTCTGATATTTATCATTTTAGTCACCAAGATCTTCCCTTTGTCTTGGAGCAAGTCAGAAGCCTTCAACTAAGTGTTTCGTGTCCAGCTTTCTTGCTTCTTCTTGGTCTTTGGGTTCACATTCTCCAGTGTAGAATTTCTTCTAAGTCCCCTGCAGTTCTAGAGCCCCAGTTGATTCTGCACACTCCAAGTTTGAAAGCCTTTGTTCCAAGGGCTCTTGAGGGAAGTGGGCCAGACACAGCGTGATGTCTGGGACGTGAGTGGTGCTCTGGGGAAGAGGGAAGGATGAGAATTCCTCCCCTGACCCTTGGTTCCTCTCCTACCCTTCCCTGTTGGCTTTTCATGGGTCTCAGACATTTCCCTTTCTGAAATAATTTCCCTCTTCCTTTCCTTGTAGTGCCACAGTGTGGGGGTCTTCTTTTCCAAAGCAGCCAGATTCCTCTGCAGTTTAGAATACTAGGGAAGAGCTCAGGGGCACCGAGAGGCTTAAACTGGTCTATCCCAGTTCACAAGGCTCCAAAACTTAATAAATAAACAGATTTATATAATATAATATAATAATATAATTTATATAATAAACAGATTTATGGGGGAGGGAAAAGCTTTTTTTTTCTTTTGGAACCACGAACCATCTATTATACACAATATTTTGTGTGTACTGCAGCCATTTTTATGGTTTAAAGTAATGAGTTAATAATGGCTGTCTGAATTTCATCATGTAGTGATTTTATTTTATTTTTTTACCTTATGGGAAATTCGTATGAGCCGACTCCCCACCACCCTCACCCATCACAAGATGATTTCCTTATAAGTTGCCTCTGGGCCTGAGCTTCTGGAGGTGAGCCCCATTCGTCATAACAGATAAAGCAGGCTTCTCACAATAAGCTTCTCAAATATATTTATGAAAACCGAGAACAAGAGCTGCCAGGTCTGGGCCCTCACAGTGCTGGTGTGTCGCCGGCTGCTGTCCACTTCAGGGCCTTCTGTGGTCAAATGTGAACTCTGTCCTGACATTTTCAAAAGGTCATACAAGGAAGTGCTGAATAGACATGGGAAGGGAGAGGAGGAAATACTTCAGCAGTCGAAGATAAAAGATTTCCCAGAAGCCACTTATCTTTTAACTCCTAACCAGCTAATGAACCCAGGGGCTTTCCTCTGCAGTCTGGGGTCTTGGAGCTGGGTCCTTGCTGTCTGTAGTACTTGTCCCAGCTAGGTCATCAGAATGTCATATAGGCACTTTGCTATTTTGAGTGTGAGAAATGACTGGTACCGGGTGAGTCACTTCTTACACGTTACATCTCACTAGGCAAATCACACTGGGAAATGCACACTGGCATTCATACTATTCTGGCACATTCCAGTGTAGGTGGGTTTTTCCCTTCCTCCCCAGCCTTTGAAGATGGCTGCTGCCTATTATCAATGGTGTGGACCAAATTCTAACAAAGTAGATGCCTTAGACAGGTTATTCTAGTGCCCTCACTACTCTACCAAGCAGCTCTCTTTTTCTTTTATTTTTTTTTTCCTCTCTCTCTCTCTCTCTCTCTCTTTTTTTTTTTGGTACCAGGGATTGAACTCAGGTATTTAGAGACAGGGTCTCACTGCATTGCTTAGCGCCTCACCATTGCTAAGGCTGGCTTTGAACTCGCGATCCTCTTGTCTCAGCCTCCTGAACTGCTGCTTTTCTATGGAATCAAGCCTTAGTTCCTTCTGGATGTACACATCCAGCTCCAGGATGATTTCCAACACATTTTTCTGTTTTCTCTGTTCTCCATGTATGACAAGGCTTCTCTTCCCAAGGCCAATTATTTGGATCTCATCTAAATTTGAATTTAGAAAGTACTCATATTTACCAAAGATAATTCTCGCCTTTTGACTAAATACATAGAATTTCAGTCGCCACAGAAGAATAAGAGCTTTGGAGAACCATTCCATGGAAATGACTGTATTCACCAAGTTTAAGATGAAAGAGAAAAAGTATTCTTTTATTGAGTACTTTCAAAATCAGGTTTAAAAGGATTCTTTAACCCCTGCCTATAATTTGTAGTGGCTGAGGTAGACAAATTGAAAGGGGGAAAGCTGTTCAGAAACAGCAAATTAATTAGAGTATCCTGCTGTGCTCACACATACAGTTATATGAATTGGTGTTTTCTTTCTTAGATTTCAAAGCAGATATTTTTCTTTCTCCTTTTTTCAGAGAGTTCAAGTAGATAAAGACGTGGAAAGCTGGGATGAAATGATTTTGAAGCCCATCTGCGTCTGAAGCCATGATTTAAATACCATCATTAAGGTACGTCTTGGAGGAAGAAATTGAACCAAGGGTTGTGGTTAACTCTTTTTCGGTTTTGCCTGCCTTCTGAGACTGGGTTAAGCCATGTCATGAGGAGTGGCCTGTCTGAATCACATTCAATGAACCAGAGTTTCAAGAAAGTGAAAGCTGCCCTGTGAGGATCAGTGGGCCCACAAACCTTTCAGCCATTATGATACTTGGAAAAAAAAAAAAAACATTTCCTCAGTGGTCCTGTATGTATCCCAGTGTACCCTTTAGAAACTCCTGGAAAGAAAAGGGAAACTTGATACTCAGTTCTTTCTGAACTGAGTTATGGCTTTGAAAGTGCTTCCATGGACTCCAAGTTAGATTTTGTAGATAGGAGTACCTAACTGTAGAAAAAGGGAAGAGACATACTTCTGGGAACTGTGCTATTTGACCTGCTTCTCTGGAGTGGTATTTCTCAAAGTGTGTTCCCTGAAACACAGCTCCCCATACTATTAATTCAGTGGGGGCAGGTGGTGAAAGATGGGTCTGTGCCCAAGTGAATTTGGGAAATGTTGCATTAAAGTAATTGATCTTTCTCATAAATAAAGAGCCTGGCCAATCTACATGATGTGTGTGGTCAGTGGTACTCACCATAGTCCTGTGGAATTCTTTTATCATAACCAGTGTTCCATTTGTTCATGAATTTTTTAAAAATCTAAGCCATGTATGGTGTTAGATGCTAGGGATACAGCAATAAATTAGATTAACAATGCTTATGGATAGAAAGTAAATAAGTTAATTAGTAAAAGTAGTTATTGAGAGATACGACAGCAAGAGTTTAAGAGGATGGTCTTAGGGTTGAGGATTTAACTCAGTCACAGAGGGAGCCTTCCTAGCATGTGCAAGGCCCAGGATTCAATCCTTTCCATTGGAAAAAAAGGCGGGGGGGGGGGACAGAGAGAATGGTCTCTGGAACTAGGTGTCCTGGTTATAATCCTGAGTGTGGCACTTGTAAACTGCATGAATCTGGGTAGACACCCAACCTCTTTTTCAAACTCTTCATCTGAAGAGCAGTGAAAATAGTGCCTATTATTGTGAGAACTAAAATCATGCATATATGCTGGCAAATATTAGATTCTATACAGGGGTCATCAGAATTTGTACATATAATGATAATGGCTGAGGACTTTGAAGGTTCCATGGTTACCTGACTGGGGAAGATAAGGCAGTGGGTGGAGACTTTTGAATAAGATGATCTGGGATGCTCTAAAGTAGAGACCTTGTAAAGGTGAGAAATAGCAAAGTATGCAGAAGGTATAAGAAAAGCATCCAGGGGGAAAGCAAGTACAAAAGTGTATGTCAATGCAAAGAAAGTACCTGACAAAAACCTAATACTTCATCATATTAAAACAAACAATAAACACTAAAAGAACGAGGACTAGAAGGAAACTTCTTCATTCTGCAGAGGGCACCTATAAAAGATTCAGGGCTATATCATACTGAACAATGAGGGGCTGAAAGCTTCCCCGCTAAGATCAGGGACAAGACAGGGATGCCTACTCTCATCACTGCCATTTAGTGTTTGTGATGATTAAGTCTAGATGTCAACTTGACCATATTAAGGTATATCTATATAATTGGTAAAGCATTTCTTCTGAGCATGTCTGTGTGGGTATTTCTGGAGAAGAACGGTGTGTGAGTCAGTAAACAGTGTGGGGAAAACCTTCCCTTTGTGTGGGCAGACACTATGCAGTTGGGAGGGGCCCAGATAGAAAAAAAGAGAAAGGAAAGGCTAATTTAGTCTCTTTCCTGGAGCTGGGACACCTTTATTCTTCTGCCCTTGTACATTAGAATTCTAGGGTCTCCAGTGTCCCTTGGATTCTCAGGCTTTCTACCTAATTTGGACTGAGGTTTATACCACTGGCTTCCCTGGTTCTGAGGCCTTTCAACTTGGACCGGAACCATGCTATGTGCATACCTGGTTCTCCAGGTTGTAGACAGCCTATTGTGGGAGTCAGTCTGCAATAACTGAGAGCCAATGTTCCTAGTAAATTACCCATCTTCTGTCTGTCTATCCATCCATCCATCCATCTGTCCACCCATCATTCATCCAGCCTATTGGTTGAGAATTATTCCCTTGAGAACCTCAAAAGTCTTCCTCAAAACTGATGACACTAGCATACTAATATGCACTATGCTAGAGGTTTTAGCCAGGTCAGTTATATAAAAAGATAAAATAAAAGACTTCCAGATTAGAAAGGAAAAACTAAAGCTATCTCTATTTGCAGATGGCATTATCTTATGTATAGAAAATCGTTAGGAATCTGCTAAATTATGAGAACTAATAAATCTACCAAGGGTGCAGAATATAAGATCAATATACAAAAATCAATTGTATGTCTGTACACTTGTAATTAATAATCTAAAATGAAATTAAGAGAATAATTTTACAATAGCATAAAATGCTTATTCTTAAGAATAAATTTAATAAAAGAAATGTAAAACATATACTCTTAAAATTACAAAACATTGCCAGTGCAATGGTGCACACCAATAATCCCAGCTATTCAAGAGGAGAAGCAGAAGGATCACAAGTTTGATGCCAGCCTGGGCAGTTTAGTGAGACCCTGTCTCACAAGAAAAAATTTAAAAAGGGCTGGGATATAACTCAGTTGTAGGATACTTGCCTAATATGCACAAGGCTTAGTTTCAATTCCCAGCACCACAAAATAGTAATAACAACAACGATGACAGCAACAAAAACCTACAAAACATTGTGGAAATTTTAAAAAACCTAAAAAATCAGACTTAATATTGTTTAAGTGGCAATACTCCCTAAATTGGTCTTCACGTACAATGCAATCTCTATCAAAACCTCAAATAGACTCTTTGCAGAAATTGACAATGGAAATTCAAGGAAATTCAAGGAACCCAGAATTGCCACAAGAGTCTTGATAAAGAATAATGAAATAGGAAGATTCAACTTTCTGATTTCAAAACTACAAAATTACAGTAATCAAGATGATGTGGTTATGGCATAAGGATGAGGATATAAATATATGGAATAGAATTGAGGATCTAGAAGTAAGTCCATATGTTTATGGTCAATTGATTTTCAACAGACGTGCCAAAACAATTCAATGGGAAAAGAATAATCCCTTCAACAAATGATACTGGGATACCTAGATATCCACAGGCAAAAGAATGAAGTTTGACCCATTCCTCACCATACATTAAAAAAAACTAACTCAGAATGGATCAAAGGCTTACAAGTAAAAGCTATAACTTTAAAAGTTGTGGAAAACTTCAGCATAAATTAGAAGAAAATAGACATAAATTCAATGACTTTGGATTGGCAATGGTTTTTGAGATAAGACACCAATGCCACAAGAAAAATAGATAAATTGAACTTTATCAAAATTAGACTTTTATTCATCAAGGGACAGTATCAATAAAGTGAAAAGATAGCCCAACAGACCAGTTTTTAAATCATATCTGTGATAAAAGACTACATCTAGAATATATAAAGACCTCTTCTTATGACTTGGTAATAAAAATACAAACCAATTAGAAACAGGCAAAGGATCTGAACAGACATTTCTCCAGAGAAAATATGCGAATGGCAGCAGCACAGGGGAAGGTTCTCAATATCATTAGCCATCAAGGGAAGGCAACATGACCACAGTCAGATACCACTTATACCCATGATGAAATACAGCTGAACTGAAGGTCGGTGAGGATGTAGATAAACTGGAACTCTCATACATTGCTCATGGGAATGAAAAATATTTCTAATGTGGTTGCTTTGGAAAACAGTGTGGCACTTCCTCAAAGAGTTTAACATAATGTTACCTTTCATAATCTAGTATACAAATCCCAAGGCGCACACTCGAGAAATATTAATATATGTTTATGCTAAAACACCAGTGTTTATACTGTGACATTATTTTTAGTACCCAAAGAATGGAAATAACCCAAATGTCTATTAACTGATGACCAGATAAATAAGTAAAATTTAAAATTGTTTAGCCAGAATACAGAACTAATATATGGTACAACATGATGACATTCAAAGAAGCCAAAAGAACACATAGATAGTGTATGATTCTATATATATGAAATTTCCTGACCAGGCAAATCTGTAGAGACAGAAAGTAGATTAATGAGTGCCTGTAACTAAGGGTATATAGTGGGAAATTAGAAGGATCTGTGGTTTCTTTTTGGAATGTTGAAAATCTTTAAAATGGATTTGGTAATGATCACTTGGCTTTGTGAATATACTAAAAACATTTAATTTTTACTAATATACACTTTGGTGAATTATATGGTATGTGAATTACAATTATGTCAATGCAGTGTCATGATATAAAATCATATATGCATATGAAATATATATGGGTATGTCAGCACTTAATAGATGAGTTTGGGGGAGTAAGGACAAGAGAGGAATTAGGAATGGGGGAGGAGGGTTTATTCTGTTTTATGTGGAGGGTCAGCTTCCAGATCTGTTTAGACATGTTAAGCAAAAGGTGCCTGTTAAGTATCTAAACAGAGTTGGATGTGATTCTGGGACACTGAGAAGTAATCCAGACTGGAGATAAGTAGATGATACGTAAATCCACAGGAAAGGATGAAAACAGAGGGGGGGTGGAGGAGAGGGGCTCAGAATGAAGTGGGACTGAGGAGAGCTGTAAAGAAAACTGAGAAGGTGGAGGAAGAAACAGTAGAAGAGGGTTGGGGATGGTCACTGAACTCAGGTTGTTTAAAAGGAACGTCTGTCCTTCACAAAGTCAGGTTCTACTGAGAGTTCAGTAAGAGGAAGACAAGCATCCACTGGAATTGCCCAGGCGGATGTTGTGCATGACTTGGTAAGAGTAGTTCAGTACTGGAGTTCAGAGTGGGCTGATGAGGGAACGTGAAGTGTGCAACTGTTTCTCAAACTTTTTACCTAACCAGAGTCTGGTTATGACAAAACTTGCTTCAGGATCATTTCCTGCTCTGCTGAAACACCCAGCAAGAGTGCTGATAGGGCC